AGAAAATCGAGAACCTCCATTAACTAATTCACCTTCATTATCTTTTTTATGTCTATTCAAGTATTTGCTCCTAGTTAATCTACTTTAAGTTAGAAAATAATTCTGAATATATATTTAGAAAGAACATCAAATTCTGGTTCTAATTGGCCACTTTTTACGCTCTTTAGTAACGTCTAAATTGGAGAAAATTAAAAAAACATTTTGTATGAAGACTTTCGCGCTATAAGTTAAAATGTTTATTTTTGGTAATTTTCAAGTGTTGATGTTGTATTTGAAAGAACACATGAGGATGATCGAATATTTAATGATAATGAAGGTGAATTAGTTAATGGAGGTTCTCGATTTTCTTTTTGTAATTCATTTAAATGAGATGTATCACTAATCATTGTTGAATTAAATTCTGGTGAAGCAGATATAGGCAATGGCTCAGCAGATTGTTGATTAGGATTGTAAGTTGTTTGTGATGAACCTGGTCGATCTTTATCTTCAACCATTTCACATGAATTAGCATTGCCTAATGTTGAATAAAGTGCCTGAATATCTATTATTAATAAAGACATGAAAAAATTTTTCAATATTTTCAAGAATCTTTTATAGGTGTTTTGTAGTTTAGAAGCATGTTTTTCAATTAGCAAGGTTCGATGGATCGATTTCTGAGAAAAAATATCTGTGACTTTTTGAATTTTTTTTTCATCAGGGGCTTTCTGCCGAAAAAATCCAGAAACCCTTTTATCGTCAACTGCTCTTTATGAAGTAAAATTATTTAGACTGTCTACCAGAGGGGACCATAAGTTTTTTGACCAGGTAACACGATATATACAGATTTGCAGAGAAATTCTTCATCTACAAATTTACACACATTCCATTGTCTGGTCAAAAATTGTCCTGAAATTTATAGGGGCGTTTTAGCACCAGCTATACGATTATGCGAATGAATGCCACTGTACAATTTCCATAATTAGAAAGAAACAAGATAGTCGAAACTTTAAGTCGAAATCTTATATGTCTATTCGTGATATATATATCAAAACTCTAAAAATTGTCTGATGGTTGGTACGGATGAACTTTAAAATAATTATGAAAGATTCACTATCTATTCGAAAATTTAACTGAAACCAGCAATGTAAGCGGAACATGGCTTAGATGCAAAAACAAATCGGATGGTATTTCACAGTTAGAAAACATTACATGAATCTATATGACTCTCAGACTAAAGGAAAATATAATCTATTAGATTTGAATCTATTGAAAAGAACTATTGAAAGGAGTTTTTATTCCCTTCAAAGAATAATAATATTTACCAATAAGTAATGGAACAAGTTTTTCAAACATTCTTCGTCCAATTGAAAAATCAAAATGATCATGTAAAAATTGACATGTTATATTAATATAATTTTGTTGAATTTTATGTAATTTTTCATTGAATTGTTTTTTATTATCATCAATTGAATTTGAAAACTATTAGAAAATAAAAGAATTACTATAAGTAATAAAAATAATATATTTGCATATTCATCTAATTCTTTATCATTTGATAATTTATATAATTGATATGTAGCAGATGTAAATTGATAAGCTAATGCTATAAAAGTTTTATATAATTTTGATCCATAAACAAATAATAAATATTTTGTATCATAAGGTTCGTCAGCTAAAAGATTTTAAAAGAAATTTATTTGATTGTGTTTATTTTTTATTTTGAAAATAATTACCTATTGTATTTGTATTGATCAACAAATGTATTATTTTCAGCATTATAATGTTAATGCGCCATGAAACATAAAAGCAATAAGTATATTTTGTATTAATATTAATTGTTTTTCTTGTTGTATTAATAATTGAAATTCAGATATTAAATTAAAAAAATTTAATAAATATAATGTTGTCATTTGTGTTAATTCTCTTGTTAAATCTTTAATAAATAATAATTTTCAATCCATATTTGTTGTTTGAGATATAATTATTTTACGATAATCAAATTTATTTGATTGAGAATATTTTTTTTTTGTTAATTGATATCCATTTGATAATTTTTCAAGTAAAATTTATTGATGTTCATACATTTGTTAATCAGGTGGATGATAAATACCTATATTAATGAAAATGGTATTATAAGAGATTGTTGAATTTGAGAATTTGAATGATATGATGGTGATGAATGCTAGATAAAGAAACAAAAAGAAAAAAGAAACAATTTATTTCATTTGTACTGATTATAGATATTAAAGTTCGATCAAAAATTAAGATTGATATTAAAATTTCTCTCTCTTTCTCTTACTTAATGACTTCACTCAAATAGAATTTCCTTGATAGACGAATTTGACATAAATGCTATTTAAAATTGAAATTTATGACAAATTTTTTTTGTTAAAAAGTATTTGATAAATAAAAATATCAACATTTTAAACTAACCAATTTGCCTTGTCTTTGAATAGAAACTTTATTATCAATTAGGCTATATGATCTTTGGGTTATTATATACATTAAAGTCATTCAAATACTTCTAATAGAACTGTATGATCAAGAATTGATGTCTGTAGTAATTCGAAATAGACTATCGGACGCTATTTGACTCTATATTTTGATGGTGAATAGAACTTTCAGAGACTTAGAAAATTTTAAAAGGATTCCGATTCATGGTCATTCCATTGAATTTT